ACATCTCTGAGTTCCATTTTTATTTACTGAATTATATTTTTATTTGAGCAAATTTCTTCTCAGAAGGTCTTTCTCAGACCTTCGTTCTCATCGGCGTTATCAAATCTCAGCATGGTTTCAGGCTCCTCGGGGAGGTATGCAGATCTGAGTTCAATTATTGCTTAGTCTGATGAAGTGATAAACAATAATCCAGTCAAGGCGTAAAGAGAGGTTTTGAAAATACCTCGAGTTACGAAAGAGTAAAAGTGCTCAAGTGCTCTGGCTCAAATAGCTTCAATATAATAATCGGCGTTAGTTAGGACAAAGCGGTTAGTGTTTGCGAAAGTCACATCTCTATTTATTTGCACAAATTCTGATTGTAATTCTAAGGTAGTAAAATATCCAGTAATATGATTCTTTTGTAATGCTTAGTCTTATTATTGCTGGAGTTTATATTTGATTCTATATATGTTAATTTTTTCACCACCACCAAGCTATATTTTTTTTATTTTTTCAGATGCTACAAGTGAACTTATACCTGGTTTTTCTCTTTTTTGAAGGAAGCATTAATTTCACGTTGATAAAATAATGAATAAAATTTTATTAATAAAATAGCAGATGCATAAAATGGGATATGACGTTAATGGACGATGCAAATTTGACTTCATTAAAATTACATAAAATTTGAGCGATTCCCTTTTGGGGTTTGGCTTGAAACATTTGGAAATATTTCTAAAACTTTTATTTAAAAATTTTTTATGTCTTTTTGTTGGAAATACACAGTTTATCTTCAACAGGAGTACATCCAGTTAAGCTTCATTATTATTTTATTATTACCTGCATTAAACTGAGTTACATTTCGGTAAATATTTACGACCAAATTTAAAATTCCATAAGCTTCCGTTTTGGCTCAAATAAAAATTGTTGGTAAAAAATAAACTCAAAAACAAAGAGAAAAATTGAGATACATTTTAAAATCGCTTTACATCCGCTTTGGGTTTTATTTTCACATAAGCTGCGACCATAACCATAGCTGACATCCATTTAGTTGTATGTCCAGCCTAACTGAATTTACTGGTTCAGTTATATTTTACATGGCGCATAAACTTTTGGTAACCAAATGCACGTTGCAACTGGGTTGCATTGCAAACGTAACTGAGCAATAAAATTTTTCTGCATTAAGCATTAGTCTTCGGCCTTTAGGGACCGCTTCCCGTTTTGACAAAGCTTAAAAGCGGTCAAAAGCGAATTAGTTAATAAAAACGGAAATCGGTATCAGTAAACTGGCCATTGCCTTACGCTGCACTTACCGGAGGTGCAATGCGTTGCATTAAATCGCACGTTCCAAAACTTTTGTACAACAATAAAATTTTAATACCAAACCACTGTAATGACAATTTCGTACTCATTGTATCTAAGCTGCATTAAGGACTGCACACACTAGTATCTATGGTTGCACACGCTTCTGATTGCATGCATACGGCAAATAGGAACGTCAGTGTGCAGGTGTGCTTCGCTATGATTACACACCGAAGTACAAATGCACATGCACAAATTTGTGCAATTGTTATCTACCATTTTGTACTGATGACGTGAAATGATTAGATTACGATGCAGTTGTGTGTAAACGTTCAGATACAGATGCAGATATGTAGCTGCCACAAATGCTTGACTGTATGGATGCATTTATTTTAGTCGATTGTCGATTGTCGACTGTATCAATGCAGTTTTAATTCCGTTTAAACAAACAATAATATAATTTATTATTGATCAAATTTAAGAGTCAAATTAACTATGAAGTCAATAAAATAATGCAAAATAAAATACTTCGATAATGGTTTTATCTGCATATGTTACGTATTATGCTCTGTGGCTACAGAAGTGCATTTCACACTCGAGCATATTTTGTGGCACGTTCACATATTTTCCGAAGTTTTTATGTAACATTTATCATCATTGGCAGAATTTGGAATATTTTGATAAATCGCACTTCATACTGCAATTTAAAACATGCAAGAATCATGTATTTATGCTTGAGAAAATCAATAAAAATGTAAAAATTTAATGCGATTAAGCTAATTTAATTGGAGCTTATATATTACAAACCCAACAAGTGGTTATAGTAAATTTTCATAATATTAAATAAATTATTTAAAGAGCTAAAAACATGTCATTGTATCAATAAAGATTTGTCATTTCAAAAATATTTAATAAATAACCAATCATATTACAATATTGTTAACTATAAATATAAATATACTATATACTATAAATATAAATATACTGGCAACACTGGTATACTGGAAGATAACGCTAGATGTGTTAAAGAAGGGGCTCCAAAAAACCTAAACTTGGTTCTGGCCAGGCCTAAACATAGACGCAACAATATTGTTAACTATAAAAATACTGAAAATGTTAATATTGGAGATATCGCTTAGTGTGTTAAAGAAAGGGTCCCAAAAAAGCTAAAATTGGTTCATACGCAACATAGACGCAACAGATGTTCTGATGTCCTTTCTTCGAGAGTTGATAGACATGCATTGCTGGAGATACCTTAAGATTAGCCCAGTCTAGCTCCATGCCGTTGTATAACACACTGCCCTGTAAAGACTGATATTAAACTAGATACCTCTAATTTGCTTCTGTGTATCAAGTTAAAGGTTATGCTGAGGTGGTATGGGCCCACCTACTATTAGTCTGTCCCAAAAAATGCTCATAAATCAACCTCCGACTGTAGCTAGCAGAGGCAGAGATTTAAATAGGGGTAACTATAGAAGAGACGCCTAGTCTAGCAAAGCCATCTGCGCGCTCATTTTTTACTATATTAAAACATACATACATTATGAAAGTCATAATTTTAATTTATAACTATTAACTCGACAAATTTGTAGCATTAAGTGTCATTTCTTATAAAAAGACTATAGTGTGAGATACAAACATTTCGTAATGAATTAATCCACCAAATTGAAACACTAATATATATTATATAGTGGTAATATCAAATTTGTTCAAAGGCGCAGTCTTTTATAAGTCCAGCTTAAATATAAGCATAAATCACAAAATCGATTTGTTGGCCGGATCGCCTTATAATAAATGTCATAAAAATGAGTGTACAAGATAAGTACTTTTGGATGTTCTCAAATAAAGTACATATATTAAAATAGCTGTTTTTGTACTTCATGCCAGAAATATTTTATATTTCTTTATAGGTCATATTGTTAGTGCAATATTTTTAATTTATTTTTTTTTTCATACGATTTGTTTAACCCTCATACTTATTGACATTATTCGGTGCCACAATCTTCAATTCACTTTGAGTAGTACTTAAAATCAGAATAGAATCATGGTTTTTATTGAGTTCCTTGGTTTAGCAACGCTACTTAGCTTTACCGAAGTTTTTGTTGATTCAGATACTTTTTTCTAATCATTGGTGTATAGAAACCCAGGCAGAAAAACTGTGCATTCTTTATGGTTCTCAGAACCCACAGAAGTTGTGAAAACCTGGCGGAAAAAGAAACCATTTAACACTTTTCCTATAAACGCCCGGCTTTGACGTTCAGAAGAAATAGGTTTTTAGTAAAATATTTCTTTGAAAGCTTATCAGACTGCTTATCGGTAGAGATGAAAGACCCTTAAAATTATCGTAATTCGATGGGATAAATTAAGACTGTATTCCTCTATCTGGAATATCTGTCACTGTAACTAACCAGACACTTCGAAATTTGAGTACAGAATTTAGTGATAAGTTTCGTTTACCGGTTTGTCTTGGACATATGTTAGTTTTTCTAAAGTTCACAATTTTAAATAATTTATTTACAGATATTTAAAATGTATAGTTTTAAATGTTGAAAAATTATTATTGTTTTTAAATGAAATAATTGTATACATAGGGTTTAGAAGAAAGTATTCACTCCACAATATTTTTTTTAAATATTGTTTTTTATTAAGTTTCATAAAAACACAAAACGGAATCAATATTTATAAACAAATATCTTATGCCAAATTTTATATAGAGTTTCCATGAGGTAGGAAAGCCTTATATTTGTAGATAATAAATGAAGTTCACTTCTTAATTAGCAAATCGGTTCATGAATATGTCATTAGTAAAGCAAATAGAACAAAAATAAGGGTTGTAAATCAACAAAATTATTTTAATAAACATTTATGGTAGAAAAATTATAGCTTTTCTATAAGAAAATATATATATATGTTTATCATTCTTATTTTCTTTGACTAATACATATAACAAATGTTTTCTAACAATATATTTACTAGGGTAAGAATAAAAAAAGACACGATAATTTTTCTAAAGAACTATATGCAAAAGTGAACTTCTGATTGTCAGAGGATTGTACTATTTTAAACACAGTTGATACTGAGATCAACTTAACAACTAATATACTTCGTCACAATCAAATATTGTGACAGCCACTTGGGTCATTTTTAAACCATGTTTAACAACTAATATACTTCGTCAAATATTGTGACAGCCACTTGGGTCATTTCTAAACCGTGTTTAATTAATAAGAAGATCTATGTATATTGTATCGCTGAAGTTAAAATGATTATCTAATTATTAAGATTTTTTAATATATTATTTCGTATATATTAAAATAATATATTTTATATATAATATATGCACTAAAGTGATATTGTGTTATTTAATATATGTTTTGTGGTACAAATCATTAATCTATATGTATATTTCTATTTTATATAATTCTTCGATATGACGTATTATATATTATTGATTTTAAATTTTATATTTAGTATATTATATATATTATATTTAGTATATTTAGTATATTAAACTAATTATATTAAAAATTATGTATTATGTTTTATATATGACATATTATATTTTATATATGTATTATTATACGCGAATATAATAATATACTATATTTCATGTTACTTATGTTACTTATTGCATATTATGTATTTTATATTATTTTATTTAACAAACAGCATTTGAAATATTTCTGTTTATAATTATATATGAGTAGATGACTTTTACTTACCAAGAAAACAATTGACCAAAAGGAAAATTTAGAATCCATTATTTTTATTTCCATGTTCTGAGGATCATGATTTATTCTGAAAGAGAAGTTTATAAAGTTAAGCATTAAATATAAATAAAATAAAATAAATTTTAAATTTGGTATATAATCTGCTACTCTGCTAATATATGATTTAAGTCTATTATGGGGAATGTCTGAAAGTAACTAGATAACAGGGCATTACAATTTGCTTACGTCAGTTTAAAAAAAAGAAAAATTTGAGATATAAGACAAAACAACGTCTATTTCTAAGAAAAATAACATATTCAAAGCCATTTTTCTGAGGTAGTCACTATGCTTTTCAAGACATGAAATGAATTCACCTTTTAAATTTGAAATCACATATAATATATATAAAAACCTTTCCAAGTAAATTTCTTTGAAAAATGAGTAAAATGAATAAAAAATAGATATAAATACATAAATTTAAAAAAAAATATTGTTTGATTGCCAGTGTCGCCTGTACGAATAGTAGAGTAACATTAATACGACTTTCTCCGTATGAGGTTCCAAGATAAGGTTATATACACAAGAAAGAATAATATAAAATCATGCAATAACTAAAGCCACCAAAAAAGAATAGTCTTGAATTTTAACAATTAAAAAATAATTATAAATAAATAATTCAATTGTTCTGTTATTCAATTGCTTCTTTATGATTTCACTCTGAAGAGAAATAGTAAGTGAAATTATTAACAAACTTTCACGGCAAATTACCATAACAAAACCTTCAGAAATATGCGAACATAAAATTTAGTCTGTATATCATTCCTGCTAATAAATTATCAAGAGCATCTCGATCTTCCATGCAGTGTTTTAATTCTGGTAAAACATCTCCATATTCTTCTATTTCTAACGTATTTATCAAACACTTAGAGAACAAGTACTGTAAATTATTCACAAAAGTATGTACAACATCCCGAAGTTGAGATTAATATGATTGCTCCAGACATGCCCAAAAATTTTGATAGTAAGTCATTCAAATCACGTACAAAAAATGTAATTGTGTCTTCAATAGATATATATAAATATTTCATCAGTTTATTCGTCAAATTTTTCTAAATGGCTTTTTCGAACAGTAGTAAACTACAATAACAAACACTTATTTTATATTATTTTAATTAATTGAATTTTTGACTGACCCTACAACTGTTTCGAATATTGCTAAACACCCATCATCAGTGGTCTTGGAAATAATTCTTGTATTTATTTACTTGTAAATAATTTTTTTAAGACTGTAAGTATTAGGAATTGAACTCGTGCCCTGCCAAATTTGAAGTTCAGAGTCAGCGCACCTTAACTAACTGACCCAAAGCCGTACTTGACTTTTATGTTCGCACATTTTTCTGGAGTTTTCGTTAACAAATTCAATTTCTGTGTTTATGTTAGAATAAATTCATAAACCAGCTGTAGAATAATTGAATTAATAAATAATATTTTTAAATTGAACTGTTAAATTTGAACACAATGCTGTGTATAGAGGCATTATTTGTTGTATGATTTATAAATTTTTCCATAATCTCGTCAATCACTCGTTTGGTACAAATTTGATCATTATTCATTATATTATTTTTTTTAATATCTCTTACTACTTGACATTGGATCGAACAATTTGTTTTGAATATAAGTGGTTAAACAATTCGCAAATTACTATTTTTAAATTATTAATCAATAAAAATCTAAAAATTCAACAATTTTGTGCCTTTAACTGCTTTGAGACTAAAACGTCAGTGCTTAAACGCGTTTTAAAAGTTGCATTTAATTTGTATCTCATTACTTTTAAAATTAGTGTTTGAATTTTGATAAGTTATCAATCAGTAGCTTAATTTCATTTTAATTACAATCATTTCCCTTTACGCCTGGTGCTCAATCATTTATTTTATATTAAATGATAGTCAATAAAAGACATAATTATCTTCGCGTACCGACAGAAATGGCCAGTGACGGTTATGATTACCGCCAACGCGAGAGCTGGAGTGTCTATAAAATTACTGCCCAGAAAAAGTGTTTGAACGTACATTTTCCGCCTTTTTTTGTAAATAAACTGGAAATATTTTTTTAACAACTCTCAAGGGTGCGATAGAATGCAAAATTGGAAAACTAAAAGAGTTTGGACGTTGGCAGTTAATGTTTAACGAATGTTGGCAACAAAAAGCGTTTCTACACTGCAGAACTGGAGGAGTGGGAGTTTTTGTTGGATGTTCCACCAAGGAGGGAACACTTTAGCATAGCAATTTTTAATTTACATACAAACAGATGTGCATACGACTATATGTAGTCCTTCGACTATATGTAGAATTATATTCTATAATGGCATAAAGTGCGTTACATATTTTAAATGACACGTTAATTTTAAAATGAATTTAATAGCATATATTTCGGCTGAGAGACAAAAAAATATACTTTTTCTTTAACTAAAATTTTCTATTTTAGTTTTTTATAACCACAAATAATTCTTACGTTTTTGTTTAACACAAAAAAAAAAAAACTACTTTCAAATTCAGCCATCATAAATTTCTTTTGCGCAAAATTTATCAAAATTTTAGCGCCTTCAAATAAATAATATCTTCTGCTTGCTAATATCTTTTTTTGGTGCTTTTATGAAACCGCATATGTATGCTTTCTTACGTTTCATGCAGAAATAAAGCATAGAGTTTTCCATACGTTTTTCGGTTTTTCGGTTTTTCTTTCCTTTTGCTGAATGAATTTACATCTCGTATTATCCTGCACTTCCTTCCAAACTGTGGAATACAAATGTACCTAAGTGTAAACTTATGTTTCGTTGCGCAAACAGATCAGATGAATACGTACATATGTTGTGCTGTTGTGCTGTTATGTTGCTCATTAATCAGGCTAATATCCTACGGCAACAGTACTCATCTTTTGACATCATTTTTTGTTCTTCTTCCTCCTTTTGAGGTTGCATATATCAAATCCCATGTTTGAGCATGTGTAGAATATTTTATCTCAGAGCCAAATACAATAATGGAAGAAGCATTACAACGAATTTCCTTTAGCTTTTCATGTGAATTTAGCAACAAAAACTTGCTTACGCCTTCTTCTTTAATATTCCTACGCAAAATTTCTGCTCAACGTATTTCAAAGGATAATATTGCTGCCGTCAATTAAATAAACATATCCTTCCAGATATCTGTAGCTCACGGTACTATAATATTAAAAATTATATGACGAGTAAAAGAGTTGAGAGACTGCAAGGGTTTTATTAACTTAATTACGTCAAGGCGTGCAAAAATGTTAACTCGTCTATAAATTTTAATTGATATCCCAAAACAATCGTTATCCTTTTGGAAATTCTTAAGTGTGCACACCTAGTTCCCACCTACCGAAATTTCTGATCAGGTGTGAATATACATAAATTATGTGTGCAATTAAAAGTTAAATCTCCATTTAACACTTAACTGATACAAAATATCAGGCTTAACATGGTCGTCGCCTAGGGTATGCGTTAAGGGCAATGCATTTATTTTCTCAATTTCCACAAAAACTACAATAAAATTTTCCATGACATGATTTTGTTCGACATATGGATTAAACTTTACTAAAGTATTTATAGTCTTAAAACTTTGAAAGGAAATTTAAAAACATAGTTTGTCATTATTTTTATGATGTCATACATAGGATATATTAACTTTTGAATAAAATTCACTGAAACCATAAAAAACTAAAAACCATAAGCTTTCACAGTGCATATCTTCCAAAGACAATAATTTTTGCAATTAAGGAAGTTATTAAATAAATTGTTATCACAACCAATTTTCAATAAGTTTTTGATTATTACTAGGCTTAGCTCACTTATTTAGAACATAAAATTATGAAAACCTTTTTTCTTAATAAAAAATCACAATTATTAATTTGTGTTAAGTATTTAATTATAAATTAATTTCATATAAAACTGCTCAACGGACTCAACTGATGTATTGCAAGTTATGATAGATGATCTGTGTTCGTGAAATAATTATTATTGATTTATATATATATTTACTCTTTCTTAACGCGAGATATTTTTTAAACCTCGTCTTTACACCTTGACTAGATTTATGTTTATCACTTCATCAGACTAAGCAATAATTGACCCCAGATCTGCATGCCTCCCCGAGGAGCCTGTAACCATTTTGAGATTTGATAACGCGGTGTTGGTAAGTCTGTCAATTTTCGCAACTAATTGCAGGGCTCTATCCGTTATGTACTTTTTGATCGGATCAATCTTGAGGTCCCTGAGGATGTCATTCGTCTTAATGTACCATGGAACTTTGAAAAGTCTTCTCAGAGCCTGACTTTGTGCAATTTCTAGCTGGCGAATAGTAGTGTTTGAAGTTTTGCTAAACGCTACACAACCATATAGAAGTGACGGACAAATTATTTGGTTATATCTCAATTTCCTGTTCTTAGCATTGAGATTTTCATTTCTGAATAGCGGTTGGAGGTGATGAAGAATTTTGGCACAGCTCTTTTCAGTTGAAATGAAAGTTGAGATATTAAAATGGCTTTAAAGTTTTATTATTATAATTAAGAGTATTAAAAGGGATTCTGTTTGAGTTCATGAAAAAAAAATATATTATATTGTGGCATTATATACTGTCACAATATATAGAGATTCTACAATATGTCCTACAACATTCAAAATGTTTAATGAAGTTTGGTAAAAAAAAACTGAGCAAACTAAATTATTTAAAAATTATTTTTTGTATGTATGTGAATTGTTTTAATAAATATTTTTTGTGTCTTATTTGATTCTAAATAAATAAGTAAATAAATATTTAAATTCTGCATTTCTGTTATTTATGTTGCTACATTGACATTAGCGCAACAGTGAGAAGTCTCCATTTGAAGGTATATATATGAAGGTGCATTTATAGTTCCACATATCTATCTATAACGTATCTATGAAAATAAAGTAATTTTTGTTGTAATTTAAGCGAGTAGTGTCAATGTAATTAAACGTTCAAATAAAATCGGATTGCGCTTGATTGGCTTCAATAATAGAAAAATTATCACGTGTCACAAACGAAG